CCACCTGTCAGCTCTAGTTGCTTTTTCAGAACCCATCCCCTTCCTGGACCCATTTTTTCTCTTCGGGTCTTATGATCCTGTCTAGTGTGTGTCCTGTGGCCCAATTGCCTGTTCATGGGTCCATCATTGCCTGGAACTGGTGGACATAGGGATGGTGGTCATTGGTAAGGGACTGTCCCTCTCGAGGGGAGGAGCGTTCTCTCAGTTGTCACCCCATTCAGGCCTCAGATCCTCACAACAGCCCCACTCAGGGTCCCAGGCAGAGAGATGCGAGGATAGGTGACAGGCCTGAACTCCCAATTCCAAGCTGGAATTCCGCCCTGCCCGGCCGACTCCCCCGATGCCTGGCTGGCCTCCACCCCTGCTCCTCAGAGCCTGCTCCCCTCAGCTCTCCCTGCCTCTTCTCAGAGACCTTACTTGCGGGTCAGCACTGCCCTCAACTCCCTGTAACTGGGAAGGGCTGGGACCAGTGCTGATTCCCCAGGGGTGATACGGGGCGCCAGAACATGGCAGAGCCAGAGCCCAGGCCTCCATTGCTTCTTTGGGTGTTAACTGAACCCCAGCGCCCACTCTCAGTGGCTGTTCACAAGCCTCAGGGTGCCTCGTAGTAGGCCTCTAAGGAGCAGCCAGTAGGGCTGGTCTCAGACATGGGGTGCTCTGGGAGGGAAAACCCACAAATGATGGAAGGAAGGAAACTCTTGTTTATTGGACACTCTCTAAAAGCCCAGCTCTGAACCTAGCAATCTCTCGTCTCTTGATCCTGTCAGAAGCAGGTTCTATAATGATTCCCATTCTAGGGAGGAGGGCCACCACACAGCACAGCTCCAGGGGTCACTCCTGTCCGCAGTGGTGCAGCATGCCATCTGGTCTGCCCAGGTATCAGAGCAGCCCTGCGTGGGTCCCAGAGCCAGCGTGTGAATCCAGGTCGGCGTGACCATCGGGGGCACGCTGCATCTCCCTGCACAGGTCAGAGCAGAGGGAGCAGCCCGTGTGGTAGAGAGCTCTGGACCCCTGGATGGAGACCAGCAGAAACAAGTGGGAAGGACCGGAGGCCCAGTACTCACAGGGCTCATGAGAACCCATCAGCTCTATTACAGCTGTCGGTCTGCCTGTCTGTTTATCTGTCACGCTGCTGACTCTTGGACGCGTGTCCTGTGTCCTCGGCACCGCGCACATGCTTTTGTTAACATGAATGACCCAATATACGATGTCTGTGCATGGGGGTGGTGGGGGTGCCCAGGACGCATCTGGGCAGCCCTGAGAATCAGGGAGTGGACCAGGGAGGAGGACCTCAGTGGTTATAAGTTGGCACTCAGATACTTTAAAAAAAATTAATTAACTTTTTGCAGGGGGAGGTAATTAGGTTCATTTATTTATTTTTAGTGGAGGTATCAGGAATTGAACCCAGGACCTCCTGCAAGCTAAGCACACACTACCACTGACCTACACCCTCCCCCTCCTTTTTTTTTTCAATTGTCTTTGAGGAACAGAAGATTTGGCCAATTTCCTTCCCAGCCAGTGGAGGGTTGAGGGCAGAGGTCAGGGCCATGCAGGCAGGATCCATTACACGAGGCTAAATCAGGAACTAGAAGGAACTGCTCTCTGGCAGCTTTGTTACCAGAAGGGATGACTGTCCTTCCAGGAAAGGCTGAGGAAATCCTTAGCAGAGCTGTAGGTTTTCTGCCTTGGGTCAGTCAGGCCAGGGTGGGGAGGGGTGGGTGTCGGGTGGGTTTAATCCCACGTAAGGATGGGAAGGAGATGAAGGGAATTAATCCCAGGAGGGAATGGAGGGGTGGGGGCGGCTAGAGAATAAACTAAAACCAGATCCAGGCCCCAGACCCCTCCCCGACCTCCCTTCCCAATCCCTTCTGCGGTTTCCCGTTGTTAGGGGAGATGGCATCCTGTTTCCTTTACCTGCTCCAGGCCCTTGGAGCCCTTCACTGTTTACTCAGGGCAAGGATGGGACAGGAGTCTGGCCCCAGGCCCAGGGTCCAAGGATCTCACAGCTGGAAGATCCCACAGCAGCAGAAACTGAGCTGGCAGGGGTGGAGCACGACTCACCCAAGGCATAGCTACTTCAGATCTGGGGCAGCACTTGGTGGGATGTCCATGGTTCCCTCGAGATTATGTACTTTGGAGAATCCCAGAGAGAACCTGACTTCCCCTCCTGTAGGCTCAGTGTGGTCATTTCCTCCCCTCTAAGTGGCTCTGTCCAGGTGTCCTTAGGGCTCCCACACACATCCTGGGAATGTGTTTGGATCCACAGAGCTCTGGGGCTCAGGAGCACAGGCCCCAGGATAAGCAGGCCTGGGTTGAATCCCATCACAGAACCTTTATTCATTCTTACAACAAATGTCTATTTGCTGTCTAAGTGCTGGGGACACAGCAGAAGATTAAATACATATGCGTGCCTACTCTCATGGAGTTTACACTAGTGAGGGAGGCAGATAATCAGCAAGATAAGGAAGGAAGATATCTGATGAGATACAGCCTGTCAGAAGGATTTGCTGAGGAGATAAAGCAGAGGTAGGGATGGAGGGAAAGCAGCAGGAGATGGGGTAGAGGGAATGTGCTGTTAAATAGGATGGATGGATAATGTTTGGGCAAAGACTTAAAAGAGGTGCGAGATGGAGCCCTGTAGATAACTGGAGACCAAGCCATATAGGCAGGAGCAATAGGAGGTGCAAAGGCCCTGGGGCAGAAGCACATCTGGCACAGTTAAGGAGCAGGAGGCCAGTGTGGCTAGAGAAGAGTGAGAGAGGCAAGGACTAGAAGTTGAATCAGGAAGCCAGGGGGAGGTCAGACATCCAAGGCCTTACAGGTCACAATTAAAGCCTTTGACTGTAACTCTGAATGAAAAGGGAGCCATTGGACAGTTTCAGCAGAAAAAGGACAGGCTCTGACTCATGATCTTATAAAGATCATTCTGGTCATTGTGTGGAAAAGAGAAACAGAAACACCAGTTAGGGGACTACTACAATAATTCAGCAGAAAAATGACAAATGCTCAGACAAGGGTAACCAAGGTGGCATTGGCGAGAAGTGGTGAGATTCTGAATATTTTGGAAGCAGAGCCACCAGGATTTACTAATGTGGGTAGTGATGTGATGTGATGTGATGACTTTGAGGATTTTGTCCAGAGTAATTAGAAAGATGCAGTTGCCACTTACAGAGGTGGGAAAGCCTGAGGGAGGGGCAGGTCTGCGGGAAGTGTCGGGGAGACCAGGCCATTTACCTGCTCTGTGACTGTGATTCAGGATAAGTTGCTTAACCCCTCTAAACCTCAGTTTCCTCATCTGTACAAAGGTCATAATAGTCGCTCCCCTGCAGAGCGGTGGTGAGAATTGAGATCATGAATTCACAGGCTTGACGCATATACGAACTCAATGCACATCCCACCCACAGCCCAGGGATGACACCGGCCATCACAGCTCCTCAGGAGGGGACAGAAAGGAAGGGAAGACACCACCTATACATCTGTACTCTAGCTCCTCTCCCCGCTTTGTCCAGGTAGAAAGGGGATAGACCTTTCTGACAAAATTAGAAGTTTTCTTTCTTCAAGGTCTTTATGATTCGGGAGATGGTGATAATACTAATGGCAGATGGTGGTGGGATGATGATAAACAAACATATGCCCATGACCTTGCCCTTACTTTCATGGCCATTATTCACTTTCATGGCCATTATCTCATCTGAGTCCAGCAAGGCAGAAATTATACCCGTTTTATGAAGTAGAAGAAGGAGGTATTTAAAAATAAAATAGGGGAAGAATATAGCTCAGTGGCAGAGTATGTACTTAGCATGTACAAGGTCCTGAGCTCAATCGCCAGTACCTCCATTAAATAAATAGATAAATAAACCTAATTACCTCCCCTTCCCCCCTAAAAAATTGAGTAAAAACAAAATAAAACAAACCCCGGTGATCTCTACCTCAATACCTCGTGGAACTTTATTTAATCTTCAGGGGGAGAAAGTGGGTGAAGATCTTTGGGTCCTGACGCGGGTATCTCACTTCCTGTCCCTGAGTGGAAGTGCCGCCCAGCTGTGTCCAGCTGGGCCCAGCTGTGAGATGAACTGTGACCCAAAATGCCTGTCCTGGTCCTACTCTGTCTGGGCCACTCTGAGCATGCCCAGTGTGTGGGCTGCAGCCTTACTGCTTCTGAGGTTTTGGGTCAGTGGGTCTCATATACTGTCCCCTTCTAGTTACTCCTTCCAGTGACTCCCAGTTACTGAGGTAACAGACCAGGGGACTGGAACCCAGGAGAATCAATGTGCCTCAGATCACACCATTAGAAAGGACAGTCTGGTTCCAACTCTGAGGTCTGCACCCAGTGGGAAGAATTCCTGCATATGTTCCTTCCAATGCTTCCAGCCCAGCTGCCCCCTCCCCTCCATATACCAGGTGCCAGAACACAGCTGTCTCTTCCAGGCTTCCCCAGCCCAGGCAAGCTGTCCTAGGGTGGGGCTTAGCTGGGTGGGACAGCCCTGGAGAGTGTCCAGTGAGACTGTGTCCCCCGCAGGCAAATTCAGCCAGACTTTGATGCTGAGCAGCAGTTCTGACTGGTGAGAGCTGCTGCCTGTCGGGGGGGTGGGGGGTGGGGGGGTGGGAGACTGCACTGGGAGCGTATGAAGTGTCAGGTCCCAGTGGATCAAGGGCCCTGAAAAGAAAACTTAGAATTGCCCAGGGAAGAACTCCTGCTGGATTGACGGAGAGGGATTAAGGACTCCCAGGTGACTGAGGGTGTGCATGAGGAGGGGAAGTTTCAGGGGACAGTAGGAGCCCCTGGAGGCTGAGAATGGTGAGCTGTAGGTCTCAGTTCCTGCTTTACTCTTGCCTTGGCTCCCTGTCTCCATCTGTGCTATGGTTCCTGCCCCAGCCACCTTGCCCAGAGAAAGGGCTTCAGGAAAGCAAAAATGACCCATGAATTGAGATCTGGGAGTGGGAGGGCGTAAACTGAAAGAGGAGGCTTAAATCTTGCCCACCCCATGTCTTTGCCAGGTGAGGAGGAAGCGGGAAAGGCAAACCTAGAGTCTGGATCACCTTGAAAGTCACTGCCCTGGCCATGCCTGCTCCGCTGCTTCCGCTGCTGCTGCGAACACTGCTGGCCCGCCTGCTGCTGCCCGCTGTCCGCCTGGCCCGCCGGCACCTCCTGCCCTTGCTGCGCCGGCTGGCCCGTCGCCTGGGCTCCCAGGATATGCGAGAGGCTTTGCTGGGCTGTCTGTTGTTCATCCTCAGCCAGAGACATCAGCCAGATGCCGGGGAGCCCTCCAAAGTAGCCCGCCTAGAGAGGAGGGAGAGGCTAGCCCCCCAGAAATAAGGCCATGAATCCTGGGAGCAGCTGTATCCATCAAAAAGCTTTCTTTTGGAATAAGACGTCCTGCCACCATCACTGACTGCAGCCTGCCCAGTGGGCCAAAGACATGGTGGGGGACTGAGCATGAGAAGGGTTTGTCCAGGACACGCCTCCCTACTCCCAGCAGAAATGACGGGTAGAATGTTGTGCATTTAGCAGAAAATCAATCCTTATCCCTCCCTCCCTGCATTCTTCTCAAGAGCTTGTCAACCACCTCTGGCCTCTGGGAGGAGAGGAATTGACTGGGGACTTGAGGTCCAATGAGGGACAATGCCTGACCCAGGGACAATTCCGTTAATCCAGACTGTCTTTGACTCGGGATTTACCTTAAAGTAATAAGACTTTGGTTACCTTGGAAGTCAGTCTTGCTCCCAAAGCCCAGCACACACCAGGTGCTCAATAAATACTTGTTGGTTTGAATTCTTGGGATGCCTTTGAAAGTCTTGTCACACTCCTGCACTGCAAGACAGTCTAACCTGTCCAGAGGGCAGGAGTTGGGAAACAACGCAAGGCTTCCTTTTGCTACCCATTCCATTGCCCCTCTCAGTCCACATCTCCTGGAAGCTGTTTCTCCTGTCTAACTTGAGTCCGTATATCACACTGTGACCCAGTCGTCTTGGGTCTGGCTCGCCGGCCCAAGGTAAGGAGGTAGACGTCCTTAAGCCAGAGTGGAGACTCTTCTCAGCCAGTGGAGTGGGAAAAGGGAGATTTGTTTGCTCAGGGACCCTGTGGGCAGTCACCCAGAGGAGCAGTGTAGAAATGCGTACTTCTGAGGGGCACTCTGCCCAGGGTGGGATCTAGAGGGTGTCAGGTGGGTAGGGTGTGACCTGAGGAATTCACCTCATCGTTTCCCCTTCCCAGCCGGAGGCCCCTCGGGGTCAGAGGAGAGCTGTCGGAGGTATTTGCATGCCAGCCTCGGATAATTTGCTTACTGTTTCTATTCAATACTCTTCCTTTCCCCCTTCCCCCAGCGAGTCCTGGGCTCTCGGTTCAGTGGGGGAGAATGAGGAATACAGGACCCTTTCAGGACCCTGAACCCGTCAGCATGCCCGAGAGAAGGTTGGTCTGGGAAGAACCGAGATCAGAGCCATGCGCCCGCCCCAACGCCGGCCCTGCGGGACTTTCCTCTAGACCCCAGTTTCCCCTTCCCCCCACCACCCCCGGCACCATCTGCTTCCTCTCAGAGTCTCCAAAGCCAGTGCACGTGTTCGGCCCCTTTGGGAGGGCTGCCTGGCAGGAGGGGCGGGATGAAGGGGGTTCAAGTCCTTTCTTTCCTGCTCTGGGCCTCTCCTGCCGCCGACCTCCCGGATCGCTCCCCACTCCAGTGAGGCGCCAGGCGGGACTGATGCCGGGATCGTTCCTTGCAGCCCCTCTCCCGCCGAGCAGCAGAGACCGGTCAGACCCGGCGCGGGCTGCGATTTCCGGGTACAGGGAGGGCCCCAGCCCCGAGGTAAGGAGGCCAAATGGGAACCTGGGGCCGGCTGGCCCGGGAATTTCCGTTCCCGCTCCCCGACTCCGGATGCCCCCTCCGAAGTCGCAGCAGGTGCTCAGGGAGCAGGGGCGGAGCCGCGGCGGGGCGGCGGGGGGCTGTGGCGTTCTCCCCCGCGGGCGGGGCGGAGAGCGCGGTGGGCGGGGCCCTCGTGGGGTAGGGGGAATCAGTGGAGTCCGCACCTGCGGCTTCTGGCGGAGGGGATCCTTTCTCGGACTTTGGAGGCCGCTGTTAGATGACTGCCCTACCCTAAGTACGTGGAGATGTTCGCGAGATCAGAGACGTGCCCAGAGCAGAGGGTAGGGGCAGAGGTCTGAGAAATGAAGCTGGAAAACCAAGCGCAGACCTAGTGAACAGAGTCGAATCTTCTTGAACCCTGACCCAGGTACCCACCCTCAAGTACACACCCTCAAGGAAGGTGAGAGACTTGAGATGAATCTGAC